AAATATAAAATTGCAATCGCACAAAATTTGAAATAAATTTTGAAAAAAAAGAACATTTTGGTTTGTTAGTTTCCAAAAATCCTTTTTTTTTAGTTTAAAACAAGTTTGACGTGATTATTTAATTAAACCTGGAGGATTTAAATTAAGACATATTCGTTGTAGATTCATTAATTATAACTAATCACGAACACTGTAATATCATATAAAAGGAAATGAATCTTTTCTATCCGAATAAAAAGTTTTCTGCTGTATGTATTGAAGCAGGTGGCGCCTCAGAGTTTGTCACAAAGCTCGTAGGTATCCTGGGTTAAAATATTAATTACGCTTTCTCTATAGTAAAGACGTCGTGCAGCTTTTTAAATCCTTGGTTTTGCGTTTGTATTAAACAATTCAAAACGTTTAGTAGAATAATTATTGGTCTATTTGACTCATTAGCTAGTTATTTTCGAAATATACTTAAATTTCTTAACTTTTTTTACTGAAATTATGATACTGAACGTTACGAGGCTAAACAAATTGACATATTTGTAAAAGACTTATTCTTAATACATTTATATTATGTTTAATAAATTCAAATGAAGATTAATGAAATACTTATACATACTAAGACGTTCTGAGTATGATAGGTTCTAACGAATGTTAATTGTATATATTATTGTTCTGACTTGAAAAACTTAAACTATTATAAAAGAATAGCTTTATTCGTTGAAAAGATATTGAGGATGAACTAAATAAAGTCTTATATTATTTTACTTGTCTCCGTTGCATTCGTGATTTGAGCTACATCAGCGTACATATTGTGTTTCGGCACAAATATATACTACCGACACATTGTGTTTCGGCACAAATATATACTACCGACACATTGTTACCATTAAGTAAGACGTGATTCAGTACAGATATACGATCAGGGCACATATTGTGTTTCGGCACAAATATATACTACCGACACATTGTTACCATTAAGTAAGACGTGATTCAGTACAGATATACGTTACCGAAATATTGATATTACTAAATAAAACGTCATTCAACAAAGATGGATAGACATTACCGAAGTAGGTTTAACATCAAATGAATCACAATTCAGCCTAGATGTAAATACAACCGAAACATTTTTTGGTACCAAGTAAGAAATATCTTAAATTTTCAAAAGGTTTAAAAAGTGTAATTCATTCAAGACTCATATAAAGAGTTGTGATATATCAGTTTACCATATCACTACTGAAATGCATCCATAAACAACTGGTAGACTTTTAAATATGATTTATTCCACTATGAATAAAACCGAGTTTACGGGGGTGGAATTTGAATCCTAAGTAGACATAAATGGAAGGATTTTAAATGATATTCAAGTTATGATATTTGCCAAACACAGCATATTGTTGGGAAGTTCTGAAGTTCTGCCTGCGCTTCCCTGCAGCATAGTCAGAAGAATATACTTACAATGTGCTTAGCCTGCCATTGAATATAGTTAGATGT